ATTATATATATATATATATATATATATATATATATATATTAAAATTTTAAGTTTAATATTGATAATTAATTTATTGTATCTTAATTTAGGAGAGTATTACATAGAGATGTAAAACCACAAAATTGTTAATCAGTGAAATAGGCGAACTTAAATTAGCAGATTTTGGTTTAGCAAGAGCTAAATCTGTACCATCACATACATATTCACATGAAGTTGTGACATTATGGTACAGGCCACCTGATGTTCTTTTGGGTTCCACAGAGTATTCTACCTCGCTTGATATGTGGGGAGTAGGTTGCATATTTATGGAGATGTTGACTGGTGAACCAACATTCCCAGGTGTACGCTGTACGTACGACCAACTTGATAAAATATTTAAAGTATTGGGCACTCCTACTGAAGAAACTTGGCCTGGTGTTACACATCTGCCAGGATATAAACCGCATAGACTGGGATTCTATCCTCCACGAAAATTGGGTCTTTCATTTCCTAGACTCTATGATATTGCTGAAGGTGATAGTATGGCATCATCACTTTTACAATTAAATCCTGACCAACGGATAGGAGCTGAAGAAGCATTAAGGCATCCTTATTTTGCCTCTCTTCCTAGAAAGCTATACGAATTGCCTGATGGTAAGTTAATAATATACAATTATTAAAAAAATATATTTCAATGGAATTATTTGTCATTGATTGATTTTTATTTTTTTACAGAAGTATCGATATTTAGTGTTGAAGGTTGTCATTTGTATACAAATTCGAGGCACGGGTGTGCAGATTCGCGTCACACAACTCTTAAGACTTGAAGTTAAAATTAAATATAAAGAAAAAAGTAAATAATAAGTAATTCCCAAATTCACATGTTCAATGAAACGTTCATTCTCATACAGATTAGATTTACACTGGCATTATTGCCTTAACTCATATATACATTATTTCCACGCGCGTCAATCGCTCTTTCTCAGGGCTGTTCTACAAATTCCACTCGTTTTTCACAATATATACATATACAAACACAAATACAAGCATAAACATAATTGCGATATTTTTGGTTTTCTTTCTTTTTTTTTCTAAAACTAGTACATACATATATTAAATGAATTAACGAAGATAAATTATTAACTGGCAAAGAAAATACGAAAGTAAGCTATCTGTGGCTAAATGAAGTAAAACAATTTTGAGATTCGCACGCTCGATTTAGAAAGCAAAAGCACGCACGACCCATCCTCGCACTTCGTCCAAATATTAGATTTAGATTGATACCAATCAAAAAAGAATACTACACCGCCTTATGGTTCTTGATCCCAGTCTGAATAAAGTCTGGAAATGGCGGTTGCTGTTTAGAAAAGATATAATAAAATAATTATAACTTAGAAAAATTCTGGAAGACCTGTAATACTTCATATAAATTTTATGCTGTTTTTGACTTTACTGTTGGTTACTGAGACAATTGAATATATTGGTATATAACAAAAAAAAATCATTGTTCAAATTAAAACTAGTTGTTAATGTTATATGACGTGATGATAGGAATAAATAATAGAATTCTAAGATAAAAAAATACCAATACGAATCAAGTGTCGTAGCTACCAACATGAAATATGGCAAGACTAATGAAAAAAATTTATCGTTGATAATATCGACGGTAGTGATCTAGTTGTAAGAATTAATATTAGCATGCTAGTGTCGATCGAAGTTCATTATCGACATTTACAAAGTAGTATCTATCAATGATAGTAAATCAAGAATGAAGTAATAATTATAGACATAATCAAATCCAATTTGTTCAATCGCTCATACATTAAACAATTAATGGTGCTTGAACGAATTGTAGGAAATGTTATTAAATTGGTATTAGTTATTTAGAATGGATCGTTCGGCCAATATCGTTTCTAAGTGGTTTTTAAAGATCATATATCTCTAAACGAACCAACTTTAATAACGTTGCAATAGTAATATAGGATAATGTAAAATGGTGTTACAGTCCTTCCGAGTTTTCTCTAAGCTACGATGATTATTACGGTAAAATATTAATCCTTTAGTATTTACATTTATACCAATTTTTCAGCACACTTATAAAAATATCAACGAGGCGAAAAAAAAAATTTTAAAAATATTTCGAAAAAATTTGGGACACGTTATTATTATTATTACTTATTAAAAATTATTATTTGAAAAAAGACGCGCAGAAGATAGATTGTATATAGAACACCAGGTTCGTATTATTGATGACGCTGAGATAGCTGAGCTGAGACTAATAAATGTGACTTTGTAATAAATTAAAGCGTAGTTCGGTACACTTGAGACCTACCTGTTCTTCGTTAGGTTTTCCATGTGCAACAAATCACAGGAACATTTATATTGTTAAGTAATAATATAATGCAAAGCCACTTATATCTGTAATACTTGTTCTGCTTAAGTATTGATTTTATACACATTTATTTCTTTATAATTATATTTTATTTGTAATTTTTCTAAGAAATCATTGAGATATTCGAATTGCTTCAAACTTGTATTAAGAAAGATAAAGAACTATGTTTTTGAAGTACACGTGTATGTTGAAAAATTTATACCTTATATATTATTCAGTACAGTTTAGATTTGGAATCTTTATGAATTATCTTTATGAAATCTCTTTTTTTTAAATATCGTTTTAAATTTTATGATAATATGATATATTACAAAACTTTTATAAAAAGCTGAATTTAATTTTGTATGTTATAATTAATTTATATTATTTAGATCTTTAAATAATTATTTAAATGAATTTAATATTAATATTAATTATAAATTATGATTTTAATTTGATTTACAAATAATAATAATAATATATATTATTATGATAAGTTAAAAATTAATGTATTCATAATTACCAGTTACCATTTTAAAGATATCAGTTTACTGACATCATAGAGGTTAACATGGCTTTGTTGTCATTATAAATGAAATGTTACGTTGCGTAAAGTCAAGTGATTTCTATTAATATACTTAATTAAATTAATGAAAGCATGGCATGTCCTTGAATGGATTATTATTTTATTCATCATATTAGATGAATATGTCATTTTCTGTTAACGATTGTACAAAGTGAAAGCTATGGCTGGTGTTATACAGGAGGTTAGAGATTCTCTGTCCACGGACAATAAAGGTAATAAATAATTTTTAATAATTAATTTTATTAAAAAAATTATATCCTTAATATTTTTTTAGATACTATTTATTTATTACATAAAATTAAAAATTGAAATAATGTACTTTTAACGAATGTAAATTATGTCAGTGATGCATACAAAATATATACACGTCATCGGTAGTTAGAACAAAGAAATTCCCGTATATTAATTTTTACTTTTATTATAAAAATAATGTAATATTAGATGTTTGCTATTTTAGGATCTACGAATATCAAAACAACGATATCTTATGAGGAAATTGCTATTAAGCTTTTAAATGAAAAGCTTTTATTAACGGCCTTAGAATTACATGCGGAGTTATGTGAAGCTGGAAAAGAATTACCTATTTTAAGAGAATTTTTTTCAAATCCAAATCATTTTGAAAATCAAAATATTAAACCAGAACCATATACCACTATGCGTATGTAAAACGATGTGGGAGTTATTTATGTTATTATACAAATTTATTAAAAATAAAAATTAATAAAAAAATAACAAGAAATTTAATGCAAGAACAAATTTTTATCGCTGTATTTATATTGTAATAATTATTTATTCACTATAAAAAAAATAATTGCAAAAGTAATATAATATTAGAATTTTATGTTATTAGCTAGATCTTCTAGTCAGGCTACTTTGGATTCGCTTGATATGACAAGATATTCAGAAGATGGCGCAGGTGTTGATGAAAGAGTAGCAATTTTAGAATTTGAATTAAGAAAGGCTAGAGAAAGTATTTCAGCACTCCGTGCAAATCTTACAATAGTAACAGGTTTTTTTCACATATATTTGATATTGATATATCAATTAATTATTTAAGTTCAATAATTATAATTATACAAACTAATATTTATTTAAACATTTTAGAATCAGAAGGAACCACATCTGATAAATTCTCTGATAAGTATTTATCTAATGAAACCCCCATAAAACCTCATGAACAAAGAGCTATTAATTTTCTTGTTAACGAATATTTATTAGCAAGCTCTTACAAATTAACATCAATTACATTTAGTGATGAAAATGAAAATCAAGATTTTGAAGATTGGCAAGATGTAGGATTAAATATTCCAAAACCAGCAGAATTGTTACAAATTTATAGAGAATATATGAGAGCAAATGGATATGATAAATCATCTTCTGTAAATGTTGGTGTGCAAACTGATTTCTGTGAATTAAAATCAGAAATAGAAGCAGAAAAAGATGAATTTAAAGAAATGGTTTGTAAAATTATATTTGAAAATTATATTTATAATAAATTTTATATTTTATTTTATTAAAAAGATTTATTGAAAAATAACATTATTAATAGGTAAAAAAAGTAGAGGAACTTAAACAACAGACTGCATTATTAGAACAGGAAAGATTAGATTTACAACAATTTATTGTCACTAGTGAAAATTTATCTCAAAATCCAATTAAGGTATAAATTTTAACATATGTATAAAAAATTCTCAAAAAAATTCTTCTTTTTCGTTTTTTAATTGACATATTTTTTTATATAGCAAGATAGTAGCGGAACAATACAAACAATAAATTCAAATTCTACTACTCCAGATAAATTTGAACTTCTTGAAACACCAGCTCGTGATACGTCGACAGTGACTCAAGAAGTTGAGGAAGATGATAGTGTCTCTGTTGTTGTCAGTCTTGGCGAAACTGATCCTGGAGATAAAGAATGGACTAGAATACAATTACCTAGAATGGATGTTACCGAAGGATCATCCATCCTTTCAAATCCGCCATCTAGGTACTATTTTTTAGTAATATATTTTAATAATATATCACTTTTATGTGTATATTTTTTATAAAAAATAAATATTTTTAGACATTTACCATTAAAATTCAAAATGGAAGTAATAGCACATTGCTTAATAAATGTTTCAAGTTCTGCAATTTCTACTGCAGAAGAAGTTTTCAAAAATGGTGTAACACGTGATACTCTCATTCAAATTTTAGCACAAACATTACCTCGGATTGTACCTAATGTTATTTTAAATAAACGTGAAGAAGTGATACCATTAATATTAAGCACAATTCGACTTCATAATGATTCTACAGAAAGAGAAAAATTATTACAATTGTTATTTAATCTAAAGAAAAGGCCACAAGAAGACGAAAGACAATTGATTTTAGCTGGTTAGTACAAAATATAAATATATATTATAATTATAATATATTAATATATAATTATTTTAATTAATTCTAATATATTTTTATTCATTTTAATACTAGGTTTCATTGCTATGGCAAAACTTGAAGATGAACCAATGGAAGGTGAAGAAATTTTAACTATTTGTTGGGAACAGAGTCAACATAAATATCCTGAAAAAAGATTATTAGCTGTTGAGTGCTGTTCTGTATTAGCTCCATATATGTCAGTTTGTATAAGAAATTCTTTAATGCTTTCTATGCTTCAACAAATGTTACTTGAAGATAAAGATCCTACAGTTAGAGCTAGTGTGGTGAGAAATCTTGCATTATTGATAGCTTTGATGGATGATCCTGATAAATATTTTCAGGTATTATTTAATATTTAATAAATTTAATATTTAAGAAATTAACTTAAATATATTATGTTGTTAATATTTATTTTCAGTGTGAAGAATTAGCATTAACAGCACTTCATGATACATCATCTATTGTTGTTGAAGTTGCATCTTCCTTACTTTTACCAATTTTAGCTCAATGGGCGCTTTCTCTCAAAAGATTACAGACACATCTATTGCCACGTATTATATCTAAAGTAAAAAATCATTTAAAATCTTCATATCTTCAACATTCACCTAATAAAGATCATGTAGACGAAGAAAGAATAGTATCATCATTTGGGGTATTACAGTATTTACTTCCACATATGGTTATCTGCATAGCAGATATTAATTTAGTTAGAACTTATATTGAACATGGAACATCATCTGATTTACGTGAGTATATCGTAGGTTTATATAGATATTATATAGATTTTTAAATAATTGCAATATTTAAAATTTTTTATATTTTATATTTTATATAGCTGATATGTTTATGAATTTATGTCATTCCAATATCGTTAATCCAAAGGTATTTTACGATGGTGATGTGGATATAGGAAATCTTCTAAATGCGTTTTTTGCAAATACATGGGAGAATGATTCATGGCCAGAATTAGATTGGTTTACAAATAAATTGTACTTTATTTTTTTTTCTTTAAATTTTCAATTAATAGTTTCATATATTTATGATTAACACTTTCAGAGTGTTGGATATTTTGGAAATGGTAAAATCTGTCGAAATTAATCAAGAGACAATTTTAAATGCTCTTCTAACGTATATTCATTCTTTATGTTTGGGTTTTGGGCGATATATCACACAAACACGGGTAAATTAATATTTAATAATTAATATTTTGATCGTAATTTTGATCAAATATCAATATCATATAAAAATAATTAACAATTTCATATTTTCTAGATTCAACCAATAATTGCATCTGAAGTAACTGAACTTGAACAACAATTAACGACTTTATCAACCGATAAAAAGAATATGAATTTGACATTAATTCCAACATATTTAATTGTATTGTCCACTTTGAATGGTATAGATGTTTCTAAATCTTTAAAACAGTTCCTTATTGTTTTATCTATGAGTGGCACCAATATTACTAGTTTACAGATCGCAATTATTATGTTATGCGCTCAAGAAAATATGCAAGAACATGTTCTTAGTGGTTTATGGGATGGTTAGTTTTATAAATAATTAAAATAGAATTTTTTTATTAGAAATTTAGTAATCAAGTTATGTTTTCTTTTATTTTTTATAGGGGTAGTACATCAAAGACCTATTGTAAGATGTGCAACTGCAACATTATTTGGTTGTGTAATAGCTCATATTTCCGATCAATTAGCAAGTGCTAAAGTAGTTCCTGCAATTGTAACGCTCGTTAGTGATCCTGATATGTAAGATATTTTTGTAAATATTTTATTCATTTCAAATTATTAATATTATTTATATTTATAAAGTTAATTTATTTGTTATGAAAAAATATGAATAATTAATAATTAAAATAATATTTATTCATTTTTAGAACTGTTCGATCTGCTGCAATTCCTTCTCTTGGTCGTTTAATAACGGAATGTAAAGTTAGAGAGATCCGTGATAAAGCACGTTTAACTTTAGAAACCATTGCTAAAGAACCTCATGGCATTCCGCCAACCTTAGCACTCCCTTTGGTCTCAACATTAGCATTTATTGCTCCTAATTGCCCTCAAAATTATATAGAAGATGGTAAATTTTAATTATAAATTTTCAATGTTTATGATATATAAAACACTAAAATTTTTAATTTTCTATAGTTATAGCAACGCAATTAATGGGTATAACTTCATCAGCATTACAGCAAGGTCGTAAAATTGATCTCATTAGTTCATTAGTTGAAGCATATTCTGTCTTGGTTTATTGTCCATTGAGTAATCAATGTGTTTCTGGTGTCTTATTGCCTGGATTAAAGTATCTTGAACAGTTGATTAATCAATATTTACCTCAACAAAAAGAAACAGTTAGATCATTATTACGAGAAACAGAATCACGACAGGATCTTTCAAAACCAATAGAGAGGTAAATATTTAAATACGTTTTGAACTTATATTTATGTTGATGATTTTGAAAATAAATTTATTGTGACTTATTTATCTTTATTTTCTTAGATCTTTATCAATGAGTTCTGGCCTTTCTTTATCAATGGCTTCGGTAAATGTAGGACAAGGTGTAGAAGATATGAGACAGAGAGTGAGCAAAATATTTCAACAAAAAACTAGTTCGCCAAGTATGTCTAGTATTTTTCGAAAGAATAAAATTTTTTTGTTATTCATATTTAATCATAAATATTATATTTCATTCTTTTTAAAATTTTACATTTTTTTTTGTTTTCAAAGTTTATTTATATTGTACTTAATATATATTATACAATTAAAAGTACAAGTGATGCACAAAATTTATACTAATCAGAATATAATATTATTATAAGTATTATTCGTTATAGTCAGGATACAAATTTGATAAATATTATTGAATATTGCTATAATGGTGTGCCTTTTAAGATGTAATTTTAAATCATGTGAATTACAAAATTTACTGTTTTGAAAATTAAAATTTAACAGAACAGAAATTAATAGAATATTGATTTCGATTTTTAATTGCAATTAAGTATGATATTAAATATTTAAATAGTTACAACAATTTTATGTAATTATTTCTCTTTAATATAATTTATTATTTATATTTTAAATAATTATAATATATTTATTAAAATGAATCTCACATATTTTTATTAATGTAAATAAGTTGTGTATTATGTGATTAACTCTTATTAAAGAAAAGAAAAAAATTCAAATATATCTTGCCATAACATTATTTAAAATTTAAAAATATAGTTTTAAAAATATTTACTATATTTTACATTATAGGAATGTAGTAGTTATAGTATATTCACATTCAAGAAATAAGTTGTGATTGTTAAACATTAAATGTTAGAAATTTAATAAAGATGATTTCATTTTGTATTGCTATTTGATATTAAAAAGCAAAATAGTTTTTATTTTTGTCATCTCTAAAAATTTTGTGTGATCATAAATCTACAAATATAATTAATGTATATATTTGTACTCATATTGGTCATATGAATATGAATTATTTTTTTTTTTTTTTTACATAAAAAAAGAAGAATTAATCAAAATTTATTTAAAAATAGATTATATCTTGTAAGAATATTTTATTGTATATATATATATATATATATATAATTACT